CAATGGAAATAATTTTTACTTCAGGGAAGAATTAGGATATGCAAGATTGGCAAATAAAAAAATATTTGCATAGGAACAGATTACAGGCAACGTCTGTAATTTTGCAGCTGGTAAAGAGGGGGGCTAGGAAAACAGGAGCACTAGGTAGGTCTTTCTCTTAACTCATTTTAATAATTCCTTTCACAGATGAATAATACAGCAACAAACGTAATGACAAGGCTGCCTTTCCCCTGGAGATGATGCAACTAGATGTAACCACAGTTTTCACACTGTCAGATGTGAAAGATTCAGGTCTAGTTCTCCAAAGTGGTGTAAACTCCAGAAGTGGCATTTCACTGGGATCTGAACTCCTGATTTTACACACAGGCTTCTCCTCACCAATCTTGCCTTGGGACCCACGTAAACTCTGAGCATTTTTTCTTAGAGCACTTCAGAAATGCACTGACTGGATTAAGATACCAATGCATGAAGTGGGTGGCTGCTATTTTATCCTCAGGATAAAGCATAAAAACAATGAAAATGCTCCCAGTTATACAACAGGTGGGTGTTATCAGTGAGTCCAAGAAATGGGAATCCACTGAACTTGCCCAGAACATCCTCAGTATGATCCACCGAGATTTTAACTCGTCTGCATACAGATCATCTCTCTTCTTTCTCAGATCAGGCCTCCAAAATAAAATAAATAAATAAATAAGGCTGTAATTTGTTTCAGGCAGCAGAAAGACAAGAAATTGTTAGTCTTCTCTGGAAAAACACCTGTCTCCAGGCCATACACATGGAAACCTCACTTTTTTTAGGCTCCTGGAATACCCCTTTTCCCAGTGCTCGCTGGATTTAATGGATTTAATGCTCACTGTTGATTGCCTTTGACCAGGACCCAAATTTTTAGCTTTTCGTCTCTTTCTTCCCTTACTGGTCTCCGGATGACGATTCCACCTAAGGACGAAATGATTAATATCAACCCTACCTGGATTTTGTTACCTAAACTGACACCAGAAATACTTACAGATTAATACTTACAGATGTTTGCAGGAATACTCCACACGGATACAGAGATACAGAGAGAATGGCCAAGCAAGTATCAGCTTTTGGTTGTTTCACACGCTGTGAAAGGGAATGAACACACACAAATTTCTGAACTGAGAAATGGGAGATGAAAATGCAGTTTGAAAGCCCAGCATGTTTGACTAACTTTTCTCTCCCTGGGCACTGCACGTAGACTTCTCGTTAAAACAGCTGATATTATTTATGGGAAAGCTCGTGACCATGTTGTGACACGGGAAACTCACAGGTGTTAACCGAGACTGGTGCTAAAATGAAGATGATTTCCTCTACCAAAAAATGAAACTCTAAAAAACCTCCACTCACGGCCAAAATCTCTGGTCATCATCTTGGCATAGTAAAATGTAACTTGTATTTCTGAGATTTTTCTGTCTTACTGTCTGTGAGTACTTTACAACACTATGACTTGCCCTTAATTATAAACCAGTATTTTGGTGATCTGAGGCCTTGTTTTGTCATTATAGCTAAGATTTCCACACCTAACCCCATTTTCCCTTATTAGCACACCTCTCCGGGATATTTGCTTTTATCTTTGGAAAAGCTTATCACTTCTTTATATCTACAACGTATGGCCTGTGGCATTGCTGTTTACCTAATTTAGAACAGTGCTCAGAAAGCAAAATCAATTTACATCTTTGGGAAAGTTCTTTCTTTTTCCACAAGTGCTATCTTTTTCTTTAAAGAAGCTTCACAACTGGGGGCAACCAGGAATTTATCCAAAGACCTGAATTTGGAAAACACTTATTAAGTATCTGTGACTATCACCTAATTACACTTGGATTTAAAAACATACGCTTAAACTCTTTCCTTACGTAATTACTGCTTGAAATGCAACATTTTCCATGGTAATATCTTAAAACTTTTCCCATGATGGGGAGGGTTGCAGGGCTTGTTCTAAGGACCCTTTGCAGAACCATCCTTACCATTTTCTGAGGAAAAGCACTGGAGAGCAGGCACTGTGCAGAAGGGGAAAGACACAGCTCTGGGGAACGCTGCAAAAAAATTGAGTGCAACTTTGATGCAATTCCAAACACGTTTCTTCCTCATGCAGCTGTGTATGTAAGAGGTGGGAGGGAAAGCAAACATCATTAAAAGATTTTTATCTTCAGGTATTGGCCCATCAACCTGCATCTTCATAAGGCCCTGCTGTCAGGGTGAGCCAAACCAGCGCATAGGCTGGCTCAGGGCTTTCCAGGGCGAAGTCTTTGTGGCCAAAAAGTGGAGAACTAATTGTTTTCTGCTTTTATTTACTTATTTATTTTTCTTATAAAGAAAGAGAGTAAAACCAATAGAAACAGCCTTTGAAGAGCTATCGAATCGTTAGCCACCTAAGAGAACAAAGCTATCAGAGCGCCCGTTAATTCATTATTGTGACCCAAAGAGAGCACCCTGCACCCTTGGCATCCTTCATCTCGAAACAGGAGGAAAAAAATAGTAGTTCACGCTATGAATGATTAGTTGAGGTTCAAATCTTTGTGGGTATTAAAAAACAGGAGGAGCCCTAATACATTTTTGTTTTCTCTAATATATGTGTGGGGATTTTTTTGCAATAAACATTAAATATTTTTAGAAGATGCTATCCACTCGTACACTGGGAAGATCTAAACTAGAATGTATCTATCTTTTTAAAACATAATTTGGGAGAATACTAGGCGTACTTTGGAATAAGAAAATATCCAAATACACCAAAGGTCTCCATAGCTTAATCACCTCCACTGCTTCCACTGCAAACAGAGCTTGCAAATGTTCAGAGAAAGCTCCATTAGTGCCTCCGGGTTAGGAGGGTAAAAGATGAGAAGACACTAACCAGAACATCTGCCCTCTAATGAAATTAGTCTTTTCCCCAAAGGTCACTCGAGGTACTTCATGTATTCTTGTCCTTTCCAAGGACCTCTGGGTCGGCTGCTTCTCCTCCCTGCTCCCTGGTCATGCTAGATTCCAGGCATCCCAAGGGCTCTCTGCTCTACCTGCGTCAGTACAAAAGAAATATCCAGCAGTTATCTGCACCCATTCAGGAAATTCCCACCCCAGAAGGCGCAAAACCAACTCTGAACCGTTGCTGAAGAGCCAGCGGACACAGAGTGTAACAGAACAGCTAGATCGGCCAGGATGAGCAGGTACTTAACTACATGTTAAAAAGCTCTAATTATGCTCCTGCAAGTTGAGACAAATTCTCTCCCGCCTGGCTTAGGACAGCAAGAGAAGCTCAGGTTTATCAGATTGGGAGATGCCTTTTTCTATGTACTCTAACATCAGGCTCTCTACTGTGTTTTGCAAAGAAATAACCTATTTCCCTACAGATGGATTCCCCACACTTATATCTCAACTTAGCAGATACTGCTTAACAGCTCAGAAACTGCAGTTGGCTATTAACAACTGTATGCACTTGAAAACATAAAGATTAAATACAACAAAGATCCTAGAGTGAACTTAACACTGATCAAGCCTTCGGCATGTTGTCATCACAGCTGGATTTATGAATCCAAAATGGATCTTACCAAACCAGCTGCTGTCAGAGCAAAGTTTAGATCCTGAGCCTGAACTCCAGCAAATACAAGGACAATTCCATGGGTCTCACTCATGTCCCTCTAAAACACACCATTCCCAACTCCCCAGGCACAGAAAGCCTGTGTTTCACACCCCACCTAGTGGCAATATTGCAAATCTGTTGCCAGAATTAAAATTTCACATAAAACTACAGAGAAATTAATTGCTGAAGCCTGTAATGAATCTCGTAACTCCAGTGGGGATTTATAACTGTTTCAAGATAGCAAATTTTAAAAACCACATGCAAACTAAATGTGCTGGTCCATGTGGTATTCATTAAAATGCAAAACTAGATCAGTTATTTCAAAAGAAAAAGAGTGTCAGTATATTGCAAACTCGTTCTGAAAAGGCACAGAAGAGGCAGGAAGGTTTGGCTTCCTTTTATGCCTCAATCCCTTGCACAGCAAGGATACTCAAGTATTTGATGTTTTCTGTTTTTGGCAATGAGAATATTATATAAGATGAAAATCTCGAATGCTATGCATACACTAATACAGAGTAAAAAAGCTTAATTTGTAATGTCATATTTTTCCTAAGAAGGGTTAGCTGAATCTTATTCCTAAAAATAAATAAAAATAATTTAAAAAGGCAAGATATCTTCATTTTGTTCCCCCCTCCCCTATAGTAAATTAATGGAAGAGGAATCTTCAAAGAAAACTATTCCCATCCCCTGCCCTTGCCAGACCCCACATGTCCTTTGGGCTCTGCAGACTGGGGATGAGGGAAAAAGGAAGGAGAGGGAAGCAGCCAAAACCTGACGGTCATGTGTGGAGTAACTCACTGTGCTCATTTACAAAAGCCAGAAGTTTGAGAAACACAAAGCTCAGGAGTCCAGGTCTTTAGTTCAGCAACAGGGAGGGTTGGATTTGGGCTTTCCTCAAATTCTGGGCACACTACTAGACCTTGCTCGGTTCTGCAATCCAAACTCGAGTGATTCAGGTATTTTTCTCAACTGCAGATCCAGAAAATGACAGAGTTCAGGATTACCTGGCACGGCAAAGTTTCTTACATACTTCCATTTTCCCTTAGCATGCGCCATCCACTTCTTGGAGTTGCTCTTCTCTACGAGCAACCTGAGAAGAGCTTTAGAAGGAGTTAAAATATGAATTAGACTTCAAGAAGGTTTGAAACAGATATTGGATTTATTGGTCAGCTATGAGTAGGAAAATACATTGGTAAAGAAAAAGAAGACCCTGTATATAAATATAATACTAACTAGTTAAAATTTGACCAAGAAGAAAATTCCACTGAAGAGAACAGTAAAAGCCCTTGTTTACCATCAGACCATATTCAATTTCCCATTTATCTTATTGAAGAGCTGCCTATAGACAATTGCAACATTCTTTGAGCTTAGTGCAGATAATGTGCTGGTTTTTGTTACATGAATGGTAAACAAGAGTTAGTCCAGTGCATTACACATTATACAGAAGTACTGTGAATAAAGACTAAGATATTCTATTTTAGACACTACTTAAACATACCAAGACACTTAAGTGTTACAAATTTATGCAACCAAAAGAATAGCAGTTACACACTAAAAAAAAAAAAAAAAAAGAAAGAAAATACTGTGTCCGGCTGGATGAAAAAGGCTTGCTACTTAAGCAGTTAACTGAAATTTTAAGTTTTACGGTGTAATTAGTTTCTGACAATAATGTTGTAATTATTTTGCCTTTAGTATAGGTTTTATTGTGTGGCTGAAAAGCAAACCAGAAGCTATTTTCTAAATCAGCACACTAAAACTTGAGATTTGCCTAAAGTTTTATCAAAGGTTCATAGGGACAATATTCCAAGCTAAGTCAGTTCTGTCAAAACACTTGCCAGATTGACCTTTTTTGAAGCTGCTAAAAAGACAAAATAATTACAAAACACACTGCCTTGTATTTTTCCCCCCTACTTGTGTTATGTTAAAAGTAGCAACTTGTGTATTAACATTTGTACTCTAATCAATTCTTTTACTTGACGGTATATTTCAATTTACATTTTGATATCCAGAATTTCTTGTTAATGTAAATAAAGCCAAACAAGAGATGACCGACTGCACTTGAAGTGGAAAATAGCCTGGTCTAACCTAACTAAAACCTTCCAACCTCACTGATTTTCTGTGACTTTTGCTGTATGTGCTTTTATAACAAGAACACTGAAGGTACATTATGGCAACACCCCAAACCACCTCAAATAAAAATATGGAAAAATAATCCTTTTATGTTAAAGACTCTATAAAGCAAACACTTCGATTTTGTGAAGACATGGTTTATTGCCTTATTCTATATTATAGCTGGAAATGGAGACTTTTGAGTTAGACTTGTTTGACACAAGAATCTTTCAGAGAGTATTTGACAAAGTTTTATCTCAGCTCTGTTTTGGCAGATCTCGTCTTTCCCTATATTTGAAGTATTTCTCCTTCCTTCAGCCCCAGAGTCCTGGCTCCAGTCTAGTTCAAACCCAGTGAAGTCAAAGGAGTGTTTTCAATGCACTCAGTGGGTTTCTAGTCAGGACCCAACAGCCTCATATTAAAGCCGGAGGAAACAGTAATTTAAAATGGACCCTTAGACTGTAACCTAACTAAACAAGAACAGTTGTGTCTCCCAAAGCACAAACGGGCCATATTTTAATATGCTGTCATAAATTCAAATATATTTAAGACTAAGAAATACAGGAGAAGATATTGGATAAAGCTCAAACCTTTAGAATCTAACAAGTGCACTCAAGCTCCAGCATCTATTAAAGTAAATTATCCCCCTCTAAGAAATACAAAATGAGTAAGTGCTTCCCTTCCCCTTCTGTAAAGCTTTCTGGACTCCTTACACAATCCAGATAATCGGAAAAGAAAAATAGTTTGCACAGTTTGACAAGCTAGATTGGCTCATCATCACTGGAAATTGTCATGATGTACATTACCAAGACATCATTAAGGAAACATGAGTAAAACACCTTTTATTCACACTTTACAAAAAACAAAAGAAAAAACAAACAAAAAAAATAACACTACGCATTAAGTCTACTACAGCAATACTACCAGCATTTCAATGTACTGATTATAAACTGGACATGTTTGGTGTTTTCACAACTAAAACCAAAACAAAATAACCCCAAGAAATCAGGTCCCAGACAAGGATTCAAGATCAAGATTTCTCCTGTTGAAAATTAAAATATATATCTTACATATCCGATCTGTTTGTCAGTTTTATTTTTAGCTTAAAACAGACCAGCTTGAGCACATTTACGTGCCGACTACTTTTTCATAAAATTTTGAATCATTATTACCAATCCATTCTCTTATATATAAAAAAATTTCACAATATTTAGAAAGTTTTTCTTAATGCTCAGTGTCCTTTTGCTTCTCTGCCTGCAGCCGAAACAAAAGCTGTTTTAAGACCAAGCTCTATCTCAATTCTTTACATTGATTATTGAAATTGCATTAGTTTCAGGAGACCAATTCTCCCCTTTGGATAGGAATACACAAGTTACATTTGTAAGCTGTTAAGTACTTGGCTTCATGACACAAATGGCACTGAGGGTACACTATAACTTTCTTGCTTGACACTTTAAAAATAAGACTTGGTCACTTTAAAAATGATCTGAAGAATTGTCTGTGGGACCTGTATTGAAAAATGCATTTATTTTACACTGCTTCATCAATAGAAAAATGCAGGGTTGTTTTTTTCTTCAAGGAATGATACTTTCTGAAACTGAGGAACACACTTAAACTAAAGAGAATTCACATGATAGTAATTCTTAGTGGGAAAAACAGCACTGTGCAATGACACCGAAAGAAGCAGTGCGTGGGTATTAGAAGCTAGAAACTGTGTACCCCAAACCTGAACATGTTCAAAAAGTGTGATATTCAATGCTTCACAAAGGAAAAAAGGATGCCACAGCTTATACAAAAGTATCTTCATAAAATTTTCACAAGTGTTAACATTATTTAAAAAAATAAAAGAGGATGCACAGGATCTCTCTGCATGCACAGGCAGTGCTAGTTGAGAACAAATTTAAGCAGGCACAGCGGAGATAGGACAAGTATTTAAAACAGAAATGAAGAAGCTATACACAAGTATCCCTAATTTTACGTCCAAAATTAGAGATGAAAATAGTATCTGAGTGTATAAACATCAGCAATAACTTTCAATCCATGCAGGTCTACTTATATTCACTGCTTAGCTTATCTGCTCTGCGAGAACCCTATGCTTGACTTTAACTGGAAAAAGATAGGATGTATTTAGTTACCTTTGTAAGATTGCTTACTAGGATTGTAACCGATTTGGATTTAAAAAGCGATGTTCTCAGTTGAACATAAGAAGTAGTACAAAAGGGCTAACAAAACCCTAACAGTGCAAATCGTTAGCAGAGAAAACCTGTGACAACCTCTTTTATAAGCTGGCCTTTATAACACATGAAAACAGATAAAAATTTAGCCTTAGTTTACAATACAATCATTTTCCAAATCTGATTTTTTTTTTTTAAGTACAAAATCTCATAAATCAGTTTTTCTGTTGTTCATATACAATCAATAAAGGCTAAATTCAAATTCTATATTTTACAAACAAGTCTGAAAAAGGAGGGAGTGAAGTACGGAAGAATGTTCTCCGGATGTTCCTACTGGCCTCAAAAAAGTAGTGCTACAGATAACTGTGCAAAGAGAATATACTGTATATAACAATTCCGTATTTCAAGGCATGAAAATGTCACGTTGGATAGAAGGAACAGGAAGTTTAATTGTAACATATTAAAGAAAGGCGCAAATGCACCAATCACTGTCTATCAGTATACAAATATATTGGGCTCAGAATTGTGTCTGTTGATAGCACCTGGCTTTTACTATGTCTTTAGCAAATAATTAGATTTAAGATTAAGATCATTAAGAAAAGAATCCCTGTTGGCCATACCTCACTCCTCTATATTCAGATTTTACAATTGTACAAGTTAGATTGAGGTTGCCCTCCAAAATGTACTTGACTACCTCCTGCCAGGGAGATGGATTCCATTTACAGGAGGCAGGAAAGGCAGCAAAAGCTCCAGTTGTGCAAAAAGTGAGAAGTGGTCAGAAGGGATGAGTGGATGTGGACAACCACTTATATTGTTCTCTATTAACCAATGATGATCCAAAGGTCCAAGAATACCAAGTATGTTTAGCTGAGGTTTAGAGTAGAAGATGTAGTCTATAATACCCTGAAAAAAAAAGAGGAAATAAACACTGATTATGAGTATACAATTCTTTATCCATATTATCTGTGAAACAACAGGTATGCTCAACATGAGAAATAACTTTAATGCTACCATCCCTTCTCCAGGACAAAAGGATTTAGGAGACTTGTACTTCCCATCCCAAGGGTTGTCAATATAGATTTGGAAAACAAAACCCTGTACCACTTCTGTCCTGCTTTGGCAGGGTGCAACTTCAAACCTCCTGCCAAGATTCAACTCACATTTCTCTAATCTTGAAAAACAAGTATCTTCTGTCTTCCCTAGGCAAGGAAGCACCAATAGCTTTCCAGAAGTAACATGGATTACAATTCCCTTAGAGCTTAGTTAACACTGTCCTACTTCCTTTAGCTTGCAGTCTTCCTATTTACAAGGAGTAACAACACCCCAAATCTTTCGAGTCTAGTACAAGATACAAAAGATTGAAGCTTGACTCCTAGGAAAATAAATCAAGCTTTAGATATTCCTATTTGCTACGTTTAAAATACAAATTACTATTATCTACCCGAAGAGATCAACTTCTTTAGCACTTCAGTACAGCAAATCATTTTAGCTCTAGCTTTAAGTGGGGAAAACTTTTTCAAAATAATGGCCAACTCTTTACCTTGAAGTCAAATGTATAATTGGTATAAGGCATTAGGCCATTCTCATAGGCACTCTTCAACTTGAAGCCATGTGTAATTCTCCCATTTGTTGTTCCATTTTTTCCATTACAGCTGAAGTTGGTAAGACTTTCATTGTATCTCAGTTCCTTAAAATCTTTGTGGTTTGTTTCCACTCCGCCAGTGCTCAAGTACTCAACAACACCTGATAGGAGAGAAGTGAACACACAAGATGGTACTAAAACATTTGGCAAGTAACTGTGTTTGCTTTAAGTTATGTATGCAATCTTGTGCTTTACAAGGACAAAACCTTAACAGATACACAACATTCAGCAGTAATTCTTAAACACTCCAAGACAGTACAGATGAATGTAAAAAAATGCCACCTAGACTAAAAAGACCTTTTTGAATTAAAAAACCACCCAGACACTTAGTTGGGTACAAGCTCTTGAGTGGGAAGGGGATAAAATAATCAGAAATAAAATTCTTTAGATGCTTGGTAGCAGCTTCCTTTGTCTCATCTCCATGTCCAAGTCCTGGGTTTCAAAATTCCTATGTTACAAACTTGCAAGAAAGTCAAGTTCTGTAACAATACTTCACATAAGGTTAGTGTCAAAGAGACCATAAAGCCAAGTTCACAGACTTATGACTTGGAAAACCACAGTCATGTCTCAATTTCAGAACAATTTTGCTATGGATTCTGAAAGTAAAGTTGCTACAAAGATAAAAATCATTAAAAATCATTAAAAACATTTGCTTTCTCAGCATCACAGTGAATCAGATTTCCAGCAGTACTAAGAAAAACCACTCCAATCAAATCCCACAAACAGTAAGGGCTGACCAGAACAGGTCAAAAAACGTAGGGACAGATGGGAAACATTATTATATCGACAAAGTAATGATAGGATAAAAAGACAGTTCTGTTTCAGTTCTGTACTTAAGGACTCAAAAAGTGGCTTGTGCAATCTGTTCTTTTCTATCACTTATAAAACTCAAAGGAAGTCCTACATTAGGAAAGCACTCTGAAGAATCCCTTTCTGAGAGCATGTAACATGTATCAAATTTTATGAGCCCTAGAATATCTTAAGCTACAGAAAATGATTGCAACTTGAGAAGAACTCATATTTTCACATTTAAAAATAAAAACAAAAGCCACCACGTATCAGTAACATTAGTACTTCCAGGTATTTTGGAAGGTATTTTCTTCCTTTCCATTCCTTCACAGGCAAATAACAAACAAGATTCCTGCAAAACAAGTTAAATCTATAGATATAGCTTAGATATATAGATAAGGTCACTCATGAAAGAAGCTCTTCTACTTTCTTAGTACCTTTAAAGGTTATTACAACAAATCATTATGCTTTATGTTGAAAGAACCCTTTAAAAGAAACCTTACAATTTAAATTATTACACACTTTAAACATCATAAATAAAATAAACAGAACTCTTACCAGAGTCTGGCAGAGAATTGAGATCTGCACACAGTACAAGTGGAATGCTCCCAAGTTCTCCCGAAACACCAGGTTTGAGACTACGAGAAGCTTTATCAATAATGTTCTTGACCTCAGACAGGAACATCATAGTCTGAACCAGCTTCACATCAGAATAATCTGGGTCCCAATGCATATGTGCATTAGCTACAAGAACTAGCTGCTTTTCCATCCCAAGATGTGGCTTTCCAGCTAAAATGCAAAATTCATTTACATGGTCAACAACAGAGAACACTCATGTTTTATACTGTTGAATTTTGAACAAGATGTTTCAGTGGAGAACAAATACCCACTTGATTAGAGAAGCTTAAGCTAAATGATGCACAGGATGTTTTACATGAAGATGGCATATAATTCCTAATACAATGTCCATATAATGTCTAGCAAGCATTTTAATTGATATTAAAAAAGATGCTGAAGGAGCAACGTTTCACCCTGAAAATCATTAAGAAGCAAGATCAGCCCGACACAAGTAACACCTATGTATTTAAGAATACCATTAATTACCGTAAATACTTGATAAATGAAACAAACTGCCTATTTTAATAAATTACAACCATTCTCCACAAGTTATTTGTGATGGTAAATAAACCCTGCCCATATCCTCTTAGGAAACAAGTACCCTCTCTTGCTAAAAGAGCTTTTAAAAGGCTTGCTTGTTAGAATCTGAATTAATAAAGTCTTACTTGGATAAGCACAACAAAGGTTGAATAGGAGCCCAGTGAGGTACTTATAAAGCCAACTTACATTTCTTAAACTAATAGTGACAAGGCAGAACAAGCAGGCTTTATAAGCAAGGTGGTTAAGAAAATAAAGTCATGAAGATATGATTCCAAAGCATGAAACCAATACTCACTGATTCTCCCATACCTGTGCATACCTCCAAGCAGAGTAAGCCAACCTGTTTCTTCCCTCTCCCCCAAAACTGTTGCTCTTTGTATTTTTTTTAAACAAAAATGTACAAGTGGAAAAATTAAAAAAAAGTCCTCATTTTAATAATATGACTTTTTCCAAATTCTCTTTGGATATAAAATTCCTTTAGCATACCATGTCCAAAGTTATATTCACCTGTAGAATCTAGCTGGCTTACTGCAACAAAAATCCATCTTGTTTTTTTTCAATTAAGGGATACAGAAAACCTCCTCAAATTGAACGAGGTGGTACTTACATGACATTTCTATCAATTCCTTCCGCAGTTCTAGTAAAACAGCAACTCCAATGTTATCTTTTGTCATAACTCTGTTGAGCATAGCTTCTGAACCTTCTGAGTTTGCCATAGCTAGTTGATTGAACTCAACAGTATGTTTTTGAACCAAAGTAAATCTGGAAGAGAAACATCATACAGCTTCATTAAGAGACAGATGCCAAAGGACATGTTACAGATAATTCCCCTCCTAATTAAAGTTCAAATACATTTACAATGTTAAAAAAAATCAAGGGGGTCATATAATTTCATAAAAGTCTTGATCTGAAAGGGTATAATTTTGCTAGCACTTTCCAAATATTTTATGTTAAGCTGATTTCAATTAACAGATTTTCTTTAATAAAAGAAAATGGAGACTATAGAAAATGAATCCTTGTTTCTAATATTGCACCACATTCCAGCTGAAACTTGCAAGTTCAATAGAGTGACTAAATCATGCGTTTCTAAGCCCAAACGTATCAAACTGGGCACCTGCATTTACTTGTGGACACAGAGGCTAGGAAGCAAGCGGAAGGGAAATTATTGCCCTCACACACAGCAAGAATACACAGACAATACGAGAAAATAGTAAGTGTTGCAACCCTTAAGTGAGGTACAATGATCAGAAGCGTTCAGTGATTTTAAGCGTCTTTGCTTTGGCTTCTTTAGAAGGCTAATTATCAAAAAGAAACATCATCTCAGGTCTCATTTCAGCATTCCTTTCCTTATTTCCCCCCCCCCCCCCCCATTATTGACATACAGTAACATGTTTAACTAATTAAAAGTACATCTTGGTGAACTCCCAACCTGTTTTGCTGCAGAAGATCTATATTTAGACAAAAACTCAGGGTAGAATTCCCTATTGCTAGTCAGACAGAGAATAATTACTATTGTACAGACTATTCTTAGACAGGAATGCTCTATTAGAAGCTGAATGACTACCAAAAAGGGTGACTAATGCCAAGTTGTCCAGGCTGCAGACTGACACAAGAAATTGTGGGGAAGAGAACAAGACACAATAGTAGCCTTCATAAAATACAGCACTTACTTTTCTGTTTTGAAAAATATTGCACAACCATCAACATGTTTCCTTTCCTGTTCCGACATTGTCCTAGCTCTAGATTTTGGACTGAAGAATCCATTATAGCCACGTTCTTTCAGTTCTACCAGGAAAAAACTGTAGTACTGTTCGGTTTCAACCTCCTATAAAGTTGTAAGACAGCACAGACCATGAATGTACTATTACCAAAACACAGAAGACTGATATTAGCCTCTTCAGAGGCATAAATCATTTTCCAACTAGATTTAGAGAAAACATAAGAATACCGAGAATGCAAATGAGTAATACTCCTATTTTAAGAAGGAAACAGAAATGAATTTCTATAATCCCCAGAGTTATGATCATCTTGAGCCTTTTATTGCAAAATGTGTCAATTATACCCCCACGTACACATACACACACAAAGACTCCCCCACATACATTTCTTTGATCAGCAGCTGCTGATTCACATTCCAACTGAGTGGGCTGAAAAGCATTCTTTTGATGTCAAGCAACAAATAATGTTCTAAACACCACTTCTTTTCCTGGTTTCTTTTCAGCTGGTTTTGAAAACAGACTACTTACTGTAAACACATTTAATACAGAGAAGCCAGCACACAGAAATACAAAACAGAAATATATCTTTTACCTGAAGGCTTATGATGTCAGCATTGCAGCTCAGGATTTCCTGCATAATGGCTTTTTTTCTGTATTCCCAGTTCAGTGCCCAAGATGGACAATAGCCATACAGCTGCCGGGTAGCATATTTATCACAAAGTACGTTGTAACACATGACAGAGAACAAGGCTGCAGAACAACAATTGGACATTTACACTTTATTTTAAGCAAAAGCACCATTTTTTTCATTTCCAGTTATTTTATTAATTCTCATGACTTCAACCAAAACACAGCACCTGCACTTGGGCTAAAAAAAGCAATTAGTCCTCCTAGAATGACAAGACACCCTCCAAGTTTGGATTTACAGCAACCTTATGCTAACATCAATTACAGGAGAGAAAGAAATGAAGGAAGAGTGAGCTCTTTTAATGCTTGGTACAGTAAATAGCAGGCAAGAATCCTTTAAGTGACATATTTCTGTGAAAAGCGAAACAAGATGAGTCTACTGTACATTTAAATTTGTCAACGACATTAAGGTTTGCAAATTCTTTAAATAGCTTATTTAAAACCTATTCAATTATTACCACCATGAACGGTAGCAAATCTACCACCAGGGTTAGGATACCTTTGCAGAGGACACTATGCAGGCTAAATGGAACCTGAACATTACTACCACAAAAAGCTGAGAATTTAAGTGTAAGGATAACAAACAATTCAGAACACAAGGGGACACAACAAGACAGTATGAAGCCATTTGCAGTGCTATAAAGAGACATTTTTCTTGGAAGTTTATTGGGAGCTCTCCCGAGAGAACAGGGAAGACACTTTAAGATTTTGCAAACTGAGGGAGTAATCCCAGGTCAACAGGGTACTAAAACCCAGCATTTTGAGAGCAAACAGAAGACAGAAAATGACAAGTCGCGTAGTATTTTCCAAGTGAGAACATGCAAAATTTGCTTTGAACAACAGCAGAACAGTTTAAAAATGACATACTTGAAAATGGCAAGAGAGGAAAGTACCTATTCGAAGCAAATTTCTCATTAAAAATAGGAGAAAGAAAATATATATGTCAGTCTTGAAGTACAGGGCATTGCTATTATTGAGAAATAAGAGTTGGGGTTGTCAGACAAATAAAAGCTATTAAGCGTTAAAGTACCTGTTGGTCTTGTTCGGTCTGGTTCTTGCAACATAATCCAAGACCTTGGAGGTGGTTGTTCTGTTGAAACTATTGGAATAATTTAAAAAAAAAGAGACAGAAATGATAATCACATTTATTTTAGGCAGCAGAAGCAACCATTTTAAGAATGATCACTTACTTCTTTTTGCAGTACCTGCCAAATTATCAAGCAAATAGTTCAGTAGCCTTCGCGTGCCATCCGGTTCCTGATAGAGGTTCAGAATATCCTGCGTAAGTGGATTTCCTGCAAATACGTTTACAGAAATATCAGAACTAGTATGAATGTACACATCTGAGTTTAGAGTCAGCATCTCTGAGACAAGGTATTAGGACTGCAGACTACTTATGGGTTTCGAATCACACGTCTTCAATTCCTCAAAACCTTACACGTGTGAATAGCTCTAGTGAACTTAATGCAACCTCTCAGAGAACTAATGCAGGGGAGACTGCAGTCAAGTTGGATATACCAGCAGCAAAGATCTGGCATAGCAGGATGTGCTACCTCACGTGCAGGCACAGAGCTGAGGAGGCAAAAGGCACAAAAACCTCTGTGTGCTTTGCTCAGTGTTAATGTCCACTAGCAGTTTGTGTGTGGCTTATACCAGAATCTACTATCGGGTAAACGTAAGAGGAGATTCAAAGAGTTTTCAGACAATATAATGCACCAGTTAAGAAAAAGGGAAGAAAAAAATATTTGAAACTTAACCTTGTTGAGAGGTATAGGATCCCCAGTGCTCCTGGGCATGGAGGCCTTCCAAGCCAAAACAGAATTAATTGTTTCTAGGGCTAGAACCCACACAGTACTGAGGGAAAAACTGGGAAATCAATTTTAAATTGCTACTTGAACACATAACATTCCATTTTGGGGGGAGTACAGTACCAGGAGCTGCATATTATTTCTTACTTGAACACTGTATCCAGAGCCAATGCAAGCAACAAAAAGCCTCCTGCAACACCCCAGAAAGAGAGGCAAACCTCTTCTCAGACCAAGAATGTTTCCCAAGGAGTTCCTGCTCTTTAAGCAATCACTAGATGACAATATTTATACAACTGGAGTAAGTAGATACATCTGGGACTGCTATTCCGTAACACTGTACGAGTCTGCAGTCTACAAGTATGACAGCTCCTGAGTGATATCATCAAACATAGCACGGAAAGAAAAAGTAAGTAATACCTTTCAGCCCCAAAGTCTGCAACTGGAACAGTTTTCCCAGCTCAAAAGGTAAAACTCGTAACAGGTTGTTATTTAAATGTAGTTCCCTGTAGACAGAGTAAGAATCATATAAGGCTGAAAACAGAGCAAGGTTTGTCTTCAGCAGCCTCTAGTACAAGAAATTTAACTAAATGTACTAGCAAACCACAATAGTGAAAAACTGGAAGACTAAAGAATCAGCAAGAGTTTGGGAAATCTTGCTGTACTCACACACACACACACTCACAGAAAATACATGTTAAGTTGAAGAGGAAAGTAGCTACTTGGCAAGTTCATCTTAAATAGTCAGAAATTTTGTAAACATTAACAATAATTAAAGCATTTAATAACTACTAGTGATGAAGCAGTAACACTCCTGACATAGCAGACCACGAAACAGTTTTGCTATGATTAAAGGCCAAATAAAGGAAAATCATGTCTTAGAAAACAAATAAGCAAAAAACTCCAGGACCACAGAAGTAATTTAATAGAGGTAGGAGATTACCAGGTTAGTGTGCAGCTGAAATACTTCTTGATTAAGATATCTTGTGAACACTGGTTTACACTGCAAACCAGTCCAGAAAGACTGCATGCGTCTTAAAAGAATTCTTTTTTCAGTTAAATTTCTTTCCTTTGTCACATACAGCAACTCAGAGGTAATTCTGATCTGCTGTGTTATAAGTTTTCAAGCACAGAAAGGTTGAACTGTGCCTCTGGTTAAAAACAGGAATCTTCAGCTTTTTGTTTGTATAGTTTTGCTGTTAAGACAGAATTCATGCTTTTTAACTTACAAAAATAAAACAGACAGGAAGAGAATATGTACTCTGAAATTCTGGTATCTCAATGAAGTAGGCAGAAAAAAATGTACTGCTGACATCTAAAAATTAAAGTAGGTAGCAATTAATACATATATATTTAGTATTAAATTCTTCTATAATTTTTCTTGACTTTCACCCCAGTGAAAAGCAATGATGGTTCAGCTGCAATTACTGAGGACAGAGAGCGTGCAGTGGATTAATGCACTAGCTTTTCACATTTAGAGATCAGGATTCAAATGCTAGGTTTACGTCACAAATAGAAAACTACCTTAATCCTTGACTTTTGCTACACATTTCACATTCAAAGATACGGCACGTTCTACCTAGAAGAGGCTAAAGATCTGGATGTGCTGAAACTTCAGTCATGGCCAAAATTAAATAGGAAATGCACTGGGAAAAATGGCATAGTATATTTTGACAATATGGATGGCTACAGAGAGTTCAACTAACTCAGTGTCATGAATATTGAGTTTACAGCACTGCTTTAGAATAAAAGGAAAGGAATGATGGAAAGAAAAGGATGTTGATGAAGTATAAAGATGAATTTGAGAATATTCCAGTAAATTTTGGATTGCCAACTCAGAATATCTGAAAAACGGAGGGGAAAAAAAGAGAGCTATTACTAGGAATTGCTTTAAAATGATAGTCACATTTTTTTTTCCACATACACTTTTACAGCTGAAAACAAACATACAAACACACTACAAAGAGCCATGAGGTTCACACTGATTAAAAGATTTTAGACTTTAACTGCTTTGCAATTTATTGTGCTTTTAATACTAATTTTAACCAGCTAGCTTAATACTCCCTAAGTTGGACTCTTCTCAAAGAGAAAGAAAACACATTGGCTAATATTCCACCATTAACTTGCTTTGGTGGCCATTTCATTAAAACTGTACTGGCAGTTCACTTCCCTGCATTTTTTTCCCCTCCCACCATCCCCTCTAATTAAATTTTACTTAGATTTAGACTTGGTATTTTCTGGATTTGACAAAGTTGACCAAAAATGTCTTCAAAATTAAAAGCAATGAAGTCAATTACTGGTAAATGTCTAATAAACCTAAAATAACGCTCTTCCTTTGGGTCAAGGGCAAAGGAATGTTGCCTGTAAATATTTACTCTTACATAAATCATTTATATGTTTACATAACATTGTTCTGCAAACAGAGTGAAACGCTGCAGCCCTAATTATAATCTAAATAAGCATGAATAGTCATGCTTCTCTTCCAAAAGAAGGTAATCCATGCTAGCTTTGCATTATCTTGACACTGTAAAACTAAGAAAACGGTGCCCTTAAAACACAGGAGTCTTTGTCTCCAGTTCACAGGAATAGAATTGCATGATAGCAGAGGTGGAAGTAGATAACGTTAGAAAGACTGCAGTTGTTATGAAACCAACGGAAAAAAAACTCATATTAAGAAAAATACTAAAGATGAATAAATAGGAAAACAAGTAGTAGTTAGTATGACTGTGTTTAATGGGATCTTTTCGCTATCTTAGTAAGATTTAAAAGCAGTTTGTATGTGTTAATATTTCTTAAGAACTCCACGTAAAGATGAGTTAAAACAGCTTGCGAAGAGATGCCTAAGAGCTGAAAATTGATTTGGAAAGACAAAGAATTGGTGGCAGAGCACTTCTAGAAATCATTCTGTACCATCATACATGGAAATGGGAGACAAGACAGACAGCACTGCAGGGCAGCAGGCAGAAGTGAGGAGAAGAAAGATTCATTACGTTTTATTTTATTAACTCAAATATCATCATTTTGTGATTGTGTGTGTGACAAAACTCACACCTTACAAAACTTAAAGTTCAATCTGGCTCTACAAAGACCCTAAGTAAACAGGATTTAACACCTACATACCTGAGTGACACCATGTTTCCGAGCTCTGCTGGTAAACTGCGGATTTTATTAGAGGAAAGGTCCAGATATACCAGATTGTGAAGCTTGGCAATGTCTGAAGGAATACGGGACAAGGAATTGTCACTGAGATGCAAAGCTGTCAAGTGGGTCAGCGTCCACAATGACGAACTTAAGCTTCTCACTTTCCCTGCAGAAGGCAAATACAAAAGAAAATACAACATTTAAACCAGGTACAGCAATAGTTACAACATTTTATAAGCTCTTTTTCTTGTTATTTTTGTTGGTAGAAATTTCATTCCATTCTACGTATCTGAGAAATTTGGCAATACAACTATGAACATGAAGTGTTGCCAGGATCACTGAGATTTTTCTTCCTCATCCATGCTGATATTTCAGAAAATTCTCTCTCAAGGTTCTATACAAAAGCAACAGGTATATTCACTTACTGACCACAGTTTCAGGTGTAAGAAACAGTTTTTTCAACTACAATTTAGGTTTGGCATCTAAGATGCTTCTTTAATTTGTGTAACACCCCTCAAATCAAGAATCTTTATTCTACATCATTAATCTATCCAAGAACAGACAGTAGTACCAGATTTGGGGTGACTAAAATGCTGGGTTCAGAACCTAGATTTCCATCTGACATATACCTAAAAGCTGAAAGGCTTTTCTTCATAATAAAGTAACTCATTGTTTATCGCCTGGAGAAAGCTACACTGAGGTCAACTGACTTTTCTTCCTGCCTGCCAGTTAACCTTACCAAAATTTTACCTTTAATATATTATGTCTAATTTTGAAGGGAACATGGGGTAAGGAATTATTTCTATTTCAGCTGAATCTTTAAGACAGGAATAACAACACTGCTGAAAATGTACAAACAATTTAAAAAAAATTAACAAGTGTTTTTAAAAGGGATAAATAAGGCTCAATTAATAAAGCATCGGAGGATTTTGACAGAAGTAATTAACACATTTATGGCTTTCTGCAGCAGACTTTTTCAAGGGAAAAAAAACTGTGAGCATTAATTGCAAAAAGCATGGTTGCATTTTGCAAGGTAAATTACTATAGTTCCTAAGGGACTCATTCTACTGTAATGCTCATTCAGAAATCTCTTATTTTCTGCAAGAGTTCCTTATATTTTTATTTTTAAAATGAGTTAACACCTCCCCCACCATAATGGAAAAAGGTGACCGTGATCAGACAAAGCTCTGGAGCTGAGAGCAGTGACAATCTACATCCTGATCCGTCCTCTTTGCCACCTGCAGCTCACCCAGCTGGAATGGGTCTCCAGCAGGATTAAGAGGCAGAAAGGAAAGAGCTCTCCCTTAATGCATTTCCTGTGCCTAGGCAGCAGATGTCCACGTGGATATCCAAGCCTAAGTTAAAGCTTCTTGAAGCTGCATTTAACTGTGTTTCTGCAACCTCGAGCAGGGAATGCTGTTCACATGTAAAGGCACGTGGCATTCTCAGCAAGACCCAGATTCAATGACCTGGAGGGGAAGAATCTTCACAATCCAACGAGCTCCATTTGTGCTCCCCCTTCCACATGTTTCTCTACTACACAGTCATTTAGAAGCAGCACAGACATTTTTTCGCAGCCCTTCAAAGCAGTTCTATATTTAAGCAAAACTTCAGCCTAAATTTACACCAACGCAAAACACCTTTTTATCCCCGTTAAGATATCTGTGTAAGTTTCTGTGATGCAAGCACAATTGATGTAGCAAAATTAGTTACACTACAAATCAAGAACTACTAGTCTCTAGTTGGAAAAAGAAAGCCTTAGTTGATTTTGATTATGAACTGATTTTCAAGAACAGATCCAAACTCAAGTAGCATCTCAGGTTTCATTGTTCGTTGATTTTTTTTTGCAATCCTTAAAAATAAAACAAGAATGCTTTAAGAGCAAATATTCACAGCCACTCTTAAACCAAAAACCTCCTGCTTCAACAGAAACTACACTGCCATGCACTAGCATAATATGTTGTTATATTACTTTAAGAGCAGCCTGTGCCTATATAGTAATCTTTCAAAGGAGGGGGAGGGGAGGAATCTTTGCAGCTCTAAACATACATGACAGATTGCCAAAAATATTTGGATATACTGGCATCACACAATACAGATGGGCAGCTTTCATGGTTGTGCCAAGTCACAAATTCTCCTCCTGCATTTGTAGACTTATTTTCCTTCCCCATGCTGTCTTTACCTCCACCCTTCATCTCTTTGAGGAAGTAGATGCTAAATCCACACTCTCACCTACCCCATCCTCTTAAAACACAAGAGTTGCTCTTTACCCAGAGCTCACATCCATGTCCTCATCTTCTCCAAATTTTCCAAAAACTACGGTTTCCATATGCACCTCCCCTACCTCTCCTATGCTCATCCGAACCCAACCTATTCCCTTCAAAGACCAAAGGTCCAGCTGTGGCTCCCTGTTCACGTGCAGGCTCACCTCAAAGGAGTCAACTTAGGCACCTATAACCTTGCAGTAACTACACTTAGTATTCTAGCGTTAACTCAACATACAATCAGGGTAGGAAGATCTTTAATACGTGTCATAGAAATGGACTCTGGGGCACCAGAATTGCTTTTCTGAACACCGCCACCTGAAACAACCAACCCTTCTGAAATGCAGCAGCCATGCCCTATCAAGTACCAGCATCACAGACTGGTTTGGGGATATAAAACAATAATTCTTCTGCCACAAATACAGCAGAAATTCAAAAAGTCAGCCTACAATTTCTTCTTCTATCTCCCACCATTGTGCTGGGCACCAGTTTGCCAGACAGAAGTTACAGAGAATTACACTGAATGAGTAACAGCCTCTGCCCTCACATTCCTTGCATTTCTTATTGAAGTGCTGTGATTGTGCAGGTCACCCTTGGCTTAGATGATAATAACTCCAGATGATGCCCCAGCTTCTTACCACTTATTTCCAACTCCGCCCAGTGCGATTTCTTCCCATTGGCTGCTTCCTCCGAGGACATAATTGTGTACATCCTCCGCGGATCAGGCGGATCGTACTTCTCCTTGGGCATTCCTGGGGGGACCAAGAGAAAGAAAAGGTCATTATATCTATGAGATATCCCTGGGTGTAAAGAGTAACTGCCATTTAACTGTTAAATCTGGCATTGGCTATTTGCACCAAGTGCTTTCCAAACATCAAACCAAGACAACCTTTCTACATCCACAAACTTCACAAAGCAAGAAAGAGTGCTTGGAACAGGCTGCCCAGGGAGGTTGTGGAGTCTCCTACTCTGGAGGTCTTCAAAACCCGCCTGGATGCCACCCTGTGCCACATGCTGTAGGTGTGCCTGCTTGAGCAGGAAGGTTGGACTAGATGATCTGTAGAGGTCCCTTCCAACCTTAAATATTCTGTGAATCTGTGCTATAAAAATAACAGATTCCTGATGCTTAGAATGACAGATTACAGCTGAACTTGCCCACGTTGAATTAAATCTGCTTGTAAACCAATATAAGCCCTCTGTCCTGCCATCTTTCATGGCTGCATCACTGTATCTTCCTAAAATATCTTAATCCAGCAATCTACAGTCTCCTTTGCTATTGACTTCTAGAAATAAAAGCACTAGCAACTGTTCCAAAACATAAACCAAATTTTGGATTTCCCATTTTCCCAACATGCAAGAAGGCTGTTTAGCATAAAATGCATTTTTTGAATTCTTTAATACATCTTTAAAACTGATGAACACCAACAAAAGACTCTCCTTCATATAAACCCCAAGGAAAACACTTAATGTTAATCTTGTCTATCATTTCCAGCTTTACTGCAGCTCTCAGCTCCTCACAGAATCCAGCATCCAAAAAAAGCAGCAAGATTGCATAAAGATCAGCTCAAGTTTACAAAATAATCACTTTTCCATCCGAATCTCTCCTGCTTTTTTGGAAACACTGCATCTGAGACAGACATTCCTCTCATTCTTGGCAGGTGTTTAACACTGCAGTGTTAACTCCACTGCTCTCTCTTCCCTGTCGTTCCTGCTAACTTTACCAGAAACATCTCCACCTCTCTCACCACATTTTACTACATTCAGCAGTGAACTCAGGGAGGAGTGACAAAAATTCCCCCTGGAAAAGGAAACCTCCTTCCAGCACTCCTAGGCACTGACATACTTGCACTGTCTCACTGCAAAGAGGAGGGAGGAAAAAAAAGCCATTCCTGCCTCAACACCAGACCCCTGCACTGTAACCCTCCTTGTACCACTTTTCCTCCACATCCCAGGAGAAATACACTTGCATTTCAGTTTAAATGAAAAGCAAAATCAGCTTATTCATTTACATATTTGCTTCATGTTTTTAAATTACACAGCTTTTAAAGTTACATTTCTACTTTCAGTTATCACAAATAGCAGCAACGCTCTTCCATGGCTCTACAGGCACCTAAAAGCTTGTATTTCCAGGAGTCAGCCATCTTAAACTGCCACATCCACAAATGTGCAGGCAGCAACGTATAAAATGGTCTATATACAATAGACAAGGCAATTCAATACCACTAGCTCAGACAGGATTTAGAAATAAATCCCTCAGAAGTTTGCTTGGAGTTATACTGTCATACAGCAACATTAAAAACCCTATAAAAAACCCACTCAACACAGAGGAGGCCATGTGGGTCAAAATGACAATTACTCCTAGATAATCTACCCTTTTATTTTTTAGTATTTGCTACCGTGCCTATTTTTTTTTCCATATCCTTGAAAAAGACTACAACAGAAGAAATGTAGTACTTGCATACAAAATAAAGAAGCAATAATCCCTGCTAGATTAGACTATCAACCATATTTATTTTCTGTTTGAGTTTGCTGGAAAATGTTTACTTCACACATTAAAAATTTTTTACAGCCAATTTTGTGTCTTAATTAGAATAAAGTTTTGAGGTGCAAATGCTTACTTTAGTACAACAGCTGCTTTCTTCCACTCATTTACACTCCTTCCCCTTCCCACTCCCACTGTGGTCAAGAACACATTTACACAGCAAAATGAAATTCCCCTTTGAAATGTGAATTAGAGGTCAAATGATGAAATTATAAATACCAGCTGGGTTCAGCTCCTTAAGGAAGCAAGATCTTGAGTGCCTAGAATACCAGCACTATAAAATAACACTTTCTCTTTAAAAGAAACTCATTCAAGCAGATAAGATGCAATTCTCATCAGTAAAAAGGTAACACCTAATTTCTCCCCCTAGCTACTGTGATGCTAGATGGCAAAAATCGATGCAAGAAGCATCACTTCCAAAACTGCTATAAACAAGGAAGCTTTTCCACAAAGACAGTATTACACAGCAGCACCGTAGATTTTCAGGAATTATTCAACCTCCTTGGTGATCAGATGCTTTCTCTTTCTGCGGCTCCCCGCCTCAATAAATCTGTTCCAATTCTACAAGCAGGTAGAGCAGAGACTGAGCTCCTGCTCAGTGCGGAAATACAAATAATCCCTCGAGCACAGTCGATCACACGCACTAATTAACAGAGGCACTGAGCAGTATATCTCACTCCTTGCTACGAGGACAGGCTGACACACTTTTCTAGTGGTTTTGTTAATGTGCACTGTAACACTCGCAGAGATTTAAGAACCCAAGGTTTTCACGTTGGCTCTGTGCCACCCAGTTGATGCTCATCACCACCCTCAACCAGCACCCAGGCTCTGCTCCTTCCCTCCTTGTTCTCAAGGCTGCCTTTTAAAGGGAGCAATTCTCTGATGTTGGGGGATTAGCAAGGGGATAAAAAGCACCAAATGCATGAGGGAATCTCCTTGCTTAAGGACTGCCGCAGCAGCCACACAGGGTGGCATTCAGCTGCTCAGCTGCAGGCACCACTGACACCAGCCCCTCTGGAAAAGCAGGGCAATCGTTCTGCCACATTTTATCATTTTTATCTGTCGTGCACAGTTCAAGACTTCTCAGGACCTGACAAGGCCAAACTTGAGTCATATTTCATAGCTCTTCACAAAACATCAGTCTGGGGACTTGAATCAAACCTCACAACTTCACACAGCATGCAGCAGTTAGAGAAAAGCATCAGGCTCTTTTATGAGCCATCACTGTCTCTCGTCCTGTCTTCAGCCCCTGAATCCTCAATTTAAAACCTGCTGAGTTGCCACAGTATAAACTTAAATGCTGAGGCAAACATCTGACAAGGAAACCATCACATTAACTGATAAAACTGCTTTAGTCTGACAAAACTGTAAGTAAAAGCCATAAAATAGTGTTGAACCAAATTATTTGCATCAATAACTGCATATTTGATAATGTCGCTAATAAGATGACAATTTAGGCCTCTCCAAAAGAGCTTATCAACTGTTATTTTCTGTTATAATATCATCTATTCAGTTACATAGCCTGTGAAAGCGCCACTGATAATCAGACTGTGATTATGTGGAACAAGCTGGTTGTTAAAGGAGAAAATCTTTATAAAAGAGATACAGCAGAGATGCCCAGAACACTTTCCAGACTACAGGAGCTTGACAAAAGAAGATACTTGAACATGTTTAAATGCAAATTAAATTACTATCCTGTATTGAGTTATTGAAATTGTATTTAAACATCTGTGAAAACAGAACAGATTAAGACCTTAAAAGATATCTAGCTGCCCATTCTCACCCACTGTCACCATCTTAACATAGAATTAACCCTGCTTACTCTGTTGCCTGAAAGAGAAGACTTTGGCTGGGTTGCCAGCAGGCCAGCTCTTCAGCCATGTTACTACCCAGACAAATTAAAAAAGCTCAGACTATTGCCTGATAAGACTCTGGAATGGTTAATGGTCTCCTAAGCTGCAGGAAGGCAAAATGTGGAAACTGGACTAGAAGGTATTTAATGCTCCAGGCAACTATATAAGCTGCCAATAAATATTACCTCTGAATGGAGAGGGGATAGTCTGGAAAAGCTGCTTTGACAGCAGGGAAGAGGGTACGACTTCTTCCTGTTCTTATGCTTTTTTAATGAAATTGGGGTTGGTAGAGAAAAGGAATTAATCCAAACAGCCAGGCAGGCAGCACTTCTGGAGGAAGCAGGGAGAGTTTTTATTTTTCAAGAACTGAAAAATATTACAGCAGCTCTCTGTACCTTGAAATGCTTTCTTTGATAATACAGATGAATTAACTCTCTCAAACTTAAATGCATTAAACTACTGTAGATGGCCTATTAGTCCTTTAATTGTTGACTTTATTATAAATACATACTTGTACTTCTTGTTACTTTAATTAACTCCAGTGAATCACATATACAAATATATACATATACAAATCCAGATCTAACAAAGTTAAAAATTGAGTAAGGAAATAAGTAAAAAAAATGCACTCAAATTATGTATGCTCTGCAGTATGATCTACCAAATAATTGACTTCTGCACTGCTAAAGGTAGCAGGATAATCTGAAATATTTGCTATTAATTATAAATGCTTTAGCGGGCCAGAGGCTTGTAAGAAAACGGTAGTAGATGAGAAAATTGTCCTTTCCACACTCTAATACTTCTAAATTCATACTATACTATTCATTTGCAACCATCTCCCAGCCTCTTGCACTGTGGTTCTACCATAGATTAAGCAGAACCAGTGGGGTCCTGCAGCAGTTCCTTCCTACCCAAGACTCTGTGTTTCCACTTTGAACCAGCATTGACTTCTTACCAAAAAGAAAAGGAGCTAAGGAAGAGAAAGGAAGGGTTAAAAAAGGAAAAAATATTTCAGGAGGGTCTAGCTTTGTGCATTCTGTTAGTAAGGTAAAGGTGGATTTGCACAGCTGTTGATTGAGTTGCAAATACAACAGCATTAATTGTCTTTCTGACCACACCTACCCAAATTCCCTTCTTTCGCAGCAGGAAACAAAAAATCTTGCTTCCAACTGCCATCATCCAGGCATTGGTTAAATAGTAACACTGAACAAAGTCTAAAATCCTAACTGAAGGCAAAGTACACAGCCTTTTAGATAATTTAGAACTGTAACAATTTGCAAAATGTACATGTAGCTGAAAAACACTGACCTGTATTTATAGGGTTAAAAAAATCTACTGTTGAATTGTATTTGAAAGT